AAGTCAATGTAGATGAAAGAGATCAGGAGAAAGAAAGAGAGAGACATATACATAAAGGGGTAAGAAAAAGGAGAGGGATGACGAGGAGTTCAAAGAGAGGAAGAGGAGGAGAAGAAATAAGAGAGCAGGTGGGAGGTTGATTGGGACTATGACAAAGAAGACAAGTTCTAACAGAACCAATGACAGTGATCACTCAGAAGAGAAGGAGGACTTCTGCGTCATTTGTGACAGAGGAAGAATTGTGCAGAGAAGAGGAGAGACAGGAGGAGAGGAGGGGCAAGGGATAGAGAAGTGAAAGAGAAAGGAGAGAGGTCATAGGAGAGGAAAAAGAGAAGAAGAAAAGAAAGGGAAAAGAGGAGAGAAAGGTGTAGGATGGAGAGAGGAAGGAGCCATGTGGGATATCTGGTTCACTGTGATGTTGCCTTTTCTCATTTCAGAACTGGAATTTTCACACTGACACCTTTTGGATTGAACGAAATATCATGCTGCCCCCAGAGGGGCTTCCATCCGCATAATCAGGACTCCGCTATATTCTGTGTATGTATCTGTGAAAAAGAAATCGAGCTGATGTCCCCAGCCAGTAAATAGATTTGAAGAGCTTTATCATCCTTTGTTCACCTTCATGGATGTTTGGCATCATCGCACACCTTCCTAGAAATCCATTATAACCATTTATCTAGGAAGGAGTGGGCAGTGGATATATGTGTCTTATATTAGAAACATTGTCATTTGCTTTGTTTGAGGATGCTGACAATCCTACCCCTTTTCCTGATATCTGGAGATACTAATACTATGCACTTTCCAGGCTGTTGAGTGGAGAAGGGAAGAAGGACTAGGGTGGACTCAGGAACAGGGTGTGTGCTCAGTAGGTCTGATGTCCTGGATACATCCCCAGGAACATGGTGAAAAGAAGTAACTGACAAAGCTTGGACTCCATTCGCTTACTCAAGATTTATGACATGTTAATTTGTTCTTCATCGTTGTCAGCTACTAAGCATAAGTTGGTGATGTGGATGCCAAAGAAAGGGTCAAATAAGATAGGTAAATTAAGCATATTCATCCCAGAGTATTGATTCAAAAGCAGGGTTCTCAGGTGCCTAGGGAGATGATTTCTTCTCCAACATTGTGTCTGTGATAATATACCTGGCATGATCAGACCTCAGGGCTTAAGGTCAGTCTCAGATCAATGAGATTCTGGCACTTTACTTCCATCAGTCTGGACTTTTCTATTCAGTTTAATTCAGATAAAACATAGTACCATTGTGAGAAGACAAGAGCCCTGTCCCATAAAATTTGTTAAGAGGCAGGGATACAGCCAAACAGATTCAAGGAAGACTGAGATCCTAGAATCAGTGAGCTAATTCCAAGAGGTAGAACCCTGTGTCTGTATATATAAGTATCATAATAAATGTATATGAGCATTTGTAAAATCTTTGCGTTATACTACTGATCCTAACAGGAAATTGAGACCTAATGACATTTCAAGTGTCTTTATAAAAACACATATACACATTTATATTTTATTATGTTTATTTATGCAATTTCATTGTGTAGTCTTTTAAAATTAGACTCTGTTTTTATTTTAATTCTGTGTCTCTGGATTTGCACACATGAGTTTAGTGCCTGTGTGTTACAAGAGCTCTTCAGATGTTCTAGATCTGGAGTCAAGCAATTGTGCACTGCCTACTTCCCTGCAAGAGCAGCGGGTGTTGTTAAGCACAGCAGCATACTACAGTGCCCATTGTGTGGTCTCAAGGGTCAAACCAGCGTTTTCAGCTGATGTGGGCAAGGACTTTCTAGCAGATGTGTTCAAAAACACATAACTCTAAATTGGGATATGGTTAATGCTTATATACTATGATATTGAAAGATACTGCGCACTTTTAAATTAATTATCTGGAACACCAGTTCCCTGTTTCCTAACTATAAAATCTTCTTCTGAATCTGGCCATGGTGGAACACACACACATCATCAGTTCTTGTTCAGTTGCAGCAAGAGTTTACCAATCTGAGGCCATGTGAGGTTGTGTCAAGAGTTTCAGACTGATAAATCCCTGAACGTGTATGCCAAGTGAGCATCCCCTCAAGGCCTATTAGGTCACCTTTGCCATCTGATTGGAATAATGACTCTAAAGCTACACTGAACTTTTTGGCTCTTTTGATAAGGAACTATTTCCCAAGTGAGTCTGGAAAATAGATAGCAAAGATCCATGCAGAGACACTGACTCTGATAATGAGGAGAACTAGGTTGAAGTCTTGGGTGCCAGATCTTTTTTTATTATTATTATATTTCTATTTTATGTATTTTTATTTTTAATTTAAATTACAAACAAGGTTGTTTCACATGCCAATCCCAGCTCCCTCTCTCTTTTCCCTCACCTCCTCAAATGCCATCCCACCAAACCCCCTTCCCCATCCCTCAATCCCCACTCCTTTGCCCAGGGAGGGTGAGGCCCTCCCTGGGGTTTTTCGATAGTCTGTCATTTCATCTAGAGCAGGGCCTAGGACCTCCCCCAAGGGTCCAGGCTAAGAGAGTATCTCTCACTGGGTGATGGGATTCCAAAGTCGATTTGTAAGCCAGGGATAAATATTGTTTCCTACCCAAGCCCCATCGATTGCCTTTGCCTCCTCACTGACACCTACATTCAGGGGGTCTGGATCTGTCCCATGCTGGATTCCCAGCCATCAGTATGGAGTTCAAGAGCTCTCCCTTGGTCAGGTCAGTTGTTTCTATGGCTTTAAGAAGCCCAGGCTTGACCCCTATGATCCGTAGTCCTCCCTCTCTGTCACTGGGTTCCTTGAGTTCAGCTCACTGTTTAGCTGTGGTTGTCTGCCTCTGATTCCATCAGTCATTGGTTGAAGGTTCTGTTTCCCAGACTCTTTGGCAGTGGGACTGTAGTCTGGCACTCCCATGATCCATGTCTAAAATCCATATGTTAGTGAGTACATACCATGTTTGTCTTTTTGTGAAAGATCTTTTGACATTGCTTCTAATGACATCAGGATTTCACCTCTAGGCTGCGAAATATCTGCCTTCATGGAGCATCTTGAATCACAGACTTACTACTGGGGATGTGGCTCCGTTGAGGGAGTGCTTCTCTTTTGAGTGCTAGGACCTGGAGCTATTTCTCAGCACTGCTGAAATCAGCCATGCTGGTGTTTGGTTAAAATTTATCACCTGGGAGATAGAAGCAGGGGGATAATTTCAGGACCCTCCTGGTTATCCTAAGGCTATGTGTTCTAACCTGGAACATACAAGTCTCTCTTTTGGTATAAAAAGTGTAAGTTGTTTCCCAACACTTTTCCATGCCTTAACCACATTTTCTGTTCTCCAATTGCAGGACTGCAGTCATGTCACCTTTCAAAACAGCAGGGTGACCATCACGGATTTGCGATGAGTAAATCAAAGCACACACCCACCTGAGTGGGAGTGTGTGTGTGTGTGTGTGTGTGTGTGTGTGTGTGTGTATGTGTGTGTGTGTGTGTGTGCATGTGTGTGTGGGTGTCCATGTGTTTGTTTTGTGTATATGTGAGTGAATGTAGGGCAGTGTATATATCTGTATATATGTTATATCTGTGTTATGTATGTTCAGTTGTATGTATGTATGGCACACTGTGCTCATTCACAGAGCCCAGATGAACTTACTTTTATTACAGTTTTAGCAGTTAGGAAAAAGCATGGATATAACAGAAGATTGTGACACATCAAGAGAAGAGCTCTTGAGGACACATCCTGAGTCTAGATGTGAGAACACAAAAAATTCATTTTACTTATAAGGTGAGGTGACTGTTTCTATCATGTGAGTAAGATCTTTCTGGAATAATGCACAAATAGGGAAATGTGATTCTTAGAACATCCTGGAAAAAACCCTTAGTTCAAATTCCACAATACAAAAGAAACATAATCTTACATGTGTTTTCGTATATGACAGTGCTTGCAGTTCATAACTGTACATTGATGGTATAGGTTTGAGTGAGGAGAGGCTTGATTGAATCAGGAGAGAAAATTCATCAAAGGTGGATCCTACATGAATTACAATTCTAAGTTGTAAATATCCTTTTACATTTCTTGTTTTAGTCTCCTACATTTCTAATGAGACCTGTAGCTAGAAACCCTTTGACTAATGACTTTTCTTAGTTAAAACTGATTATATGGAAGCATTTAACATGAAAAAGGGAAGTGTATTACTTGAGAAAGAAAAGTACAAAACACAAATTTTTAAATTTTCTCATATTAGAAAGCATTTACAGATTATATACACTGTACAAAAAGGAATAAGAAAAAGGGGTCACATACTTTATGTTAAGAAGGTATTATAGTACATCTAAGAACATGATGGCATTTCAAATTTGATAAAGGTTCCTTCCATTGAATTGTAGAAACTCATTGTCAGAAAGGATTTGAACATGACTGGGGGCCTCCGGTTACCTCTTCACGATGACCAGCTGCTTGGTAAACTATTTATTCTTAAATCCATCATTACCATATCTATCCCTAAAGGAAAAAAAATTATTTCCATCACCCAGATATACAATCATCTGTACCAATTTTGTTTTCTGTGCAAATATCTGATAATGCAATATTTAGCTACATGAAATCTTTCAGTAAATCATCAGTTATATTATTTAGAATTATAAATATTACCCTCATGTGGGATATATATATATATATAATTTTCTTTTCTTTTTAAATTAGCCATATGACCAATTAAAATTTTAGTGAGTTAATAAGAAGTTAATTCTTTTTGTATTTTATATTCATATGTTGGGAAGAGCTTTCTAAATCTAATGCTGACACATATTAGCCCAGTCATCTTCCTATTCATCTGAATTACAAATAGATATATTTGGCTAGTTTGCATTGTATATATAAATCTCTGCTTTCATTTCATATTGCTTTAATTTACATTTTAATTGTTTTATTATTGTGAAACTTTCTCACAATTCAGGTATTTATAATTCACTCTTTTTTAGTGTATTTCCTCTTTTAAAACAATTTGTGTAATGGGAGATCATACAATTAGAATTAATGAATTAACACACCACAAAGGGAATAACAGTACTTATTGTGTGAATGATTTCGTCAAATAGAAGTCAATTATGCAATAATCCTTTTGCTCCAACTCTACCTGTTGCTTGTTTGAGTTTTTATGCATCTGTGGGTTCGAAAGACTGATTGCATATGCAGCACAAAGGAAGAAAGCAAAATTAGTTTTTGCTAATGCTAGTTGACATAGATTATGAGTGGTCAAACTCTAAGTCACATTTGTAGGATTTTGCCAGTATTAATACATAGGCACAAATGTGTTGGGACCCAGCCCCATGGGGTCTCTGTGAGTTGCTGGTCAGCCTACAAGTGCAACTTGTTTTCCAGGCCATGTGCTTTCTGTTTTCTAGTCCTGGCTTACTGCTCCGGCCTTGACCCTCTGACATCATCATTCAGCAGGAGGAAAACAACGATCTCTTCTACCTGGGGTTTTTCCACTGTGCTGTAAACCTGTATATAAAGCTTCTCCCTCTTAACAAGAGGGAGACCTCTTAGCACTTGTAATGAAGACACACACACACATTCTCCTGGCAATAAAGGCAGGACATGCATTCTCTTAGTACAAACAGAGAGACCTCTTAGCACTTGCAATGAAGACCCCCCACACACACACTCTCTCTCCTGGCAATAAAGGCAGCACAGGTATTCTCTTAGTACAAACAAGTGGACGTCTGGTCTTTCTTTCCCTGATACCGTTTAGTTGCTTGTGGTGCAGGCGCCACACAAATCAATTGGTTAATTCATTAATAGGCACAAGTAAGGAAAGATACCTTCATGACTTCTGAGCAACTATGCTCACCCTCAGCATTTAGAGACTACAAGTTCAGCAAGTTTAGTTATCCTCTGTGCAGCTGTTTTTCCTCTGTAAATTTGGAATAACTTCTGGGTGACTAGGTGTTACAGCACTAGATAATACATCATATGATTTACTATCGACAGTCCTTAATATTCCCCAAGGCCCATATCTTCATTTATTTTTGAATTCTGGGCACATTGTTTCACAGATCTCAATTAATGAAAACAACATTAGGGATCCTTGTGGGAAATCATGAACAGAAAGCAGATGTCCTCTGGATTGAGCAATAGATGTGGGGCATATGAAGAACTTCAAGATGTGTCTACATCAGATCTATCCATTCTCAACTTTACATTAGTTCAAGTGAGATTTGATTATCCACTTTTACAAAATAGTGTTTCTTAAGTATTAATACTAATCCTAATTGTAAGCATTTTAACAAATATGCAGTGAAGATGGCACTCCTCTGAGCATATTGGGAGCATGGGAAATTTGTGATGGAGGTAGGAGAAAGAGGAGGGAAGAAGGGGAGGAGAACATGAGGAATCAGGAAGATTGTGTTGGGGGAAGAATAGAGAAGGAGAGCAAGAAAAGAGATACCTAAATAATGGGAGCCATTATAGATTTAAAGAGTAATATGGCACTAGGGAAATATTCAGAAATCCACAAGGATGACCCCAACTAAGAATCTAAGCAATAGAGGAGAGACTGCCTTAAGTGTCCTTCCCATATAATGAGGTTGATGACTATCTTAAATACCATTCTAGAGCCTTCATCCACTAGCTGATAGATATATCAGCAGGAAATCACAACTAATCACTGAGCAGAACTCCTGGAATCCAGTTGTAGAGAGGGCAAGACCATGCACGGGAAACCCACAGACACAGCTGACCTGAGGAAGTGGAAGTTAATGGACCCCGGTCTGACAGCTGAGGAACCACCGTAAGACCCAACAAGGCCTCCTGAATGTGGACATAAGTTGGGAGGCATGGGAAGTCTATATGACCTCTGGCAGTGTATCCAGAATTTATTCCTAGTGTACAAATGTGTTTTGGGAGCGCATTGCCTATGGATTGTTAATCTCTCAGCATAAACACATAGGGGAGGGCCTAAGTCCTGCCCCAAATGATGTGACAGATCTTGGTGATCCCTCAAGGACATCTTATGCCCCCTAGGAGTGGATAGGGGTGGGAAGGCAGGGTCAGTGGGGACCACGAGAGAATGGGAGTGAGGGGACTTATATTGGTATGTATAATGAGATTGTTTTTAATTTAAAGAAATGTTTCTCAAAATGACCGAAAAAAGAAAGAAAATGGCACTGCTCTTTCATGTTACACTTCAAACATTTATCAGATTATACTAATAAGATGTGAGCCTCAGATGGTCTATTCTACAGAGGAAAAACCATGTTAACCATTGGTATGAAAGGCTGAAAACCTGATTTGAAGCTCTTGACTAAAACTAAAATTCAGGTAACATTCTCCTTTTGTGCATTCCTGTTTTATGAGTAGTCACACTCTAGTTTTACATTAAGAAGTTAATTTTTTCTTCAAAATTATTAATTATCAACACTTAATAAGAGAGAGACTATGAATAAGATAAAAGCAGAAAAAGTCATTCTGTATTGGGCTAGTGTTATTTCTCAGTTTTTAAGCTGCTTGTGTCTCTTGTAGAAGACGAGTGTTCAGTTCACAGCACCCACATGATAGCTCCCAACTACCAATGATTCCAGCTCCAGGAAATTCCACACCTTTTCTGGCCAGTGGGGAAACTGCATATACTCACATCTATATAATAAGAATAAAAATCCTTCAGGATAATGGGCATTCATCTCATTAATTAATCACTTGTATGCAGTGAATATGATTTTAATTATTATATTTAATTATTTTTATACTAAGATATGTATAATGATTGTCACATTGAAAGTGAATTTCCTTAGGAGCCTTCATTGTACACAAAAAAACCAGATCATTATGGAACGATTCTTCTAAGACCACTTTTCTATGTCTCAAGTGCTTATTAAGCTAGATTGCATTTTGCAAACTCAATTTGTGCTTTTATTCTCACATTTATACAGCTATGTGAAGCTCCCATAAAGTTTTATTTTCATAAAAAATAAAAAAGCATTTCCTTGTGATTATAAAGACTGGTTTCTAGTTCATTTTGAAGCTCCTGAATTATATATAGATGGAAATATTCTCTGAAAAATAGATACAATTTTGGAAAAGTAATTTCTGGGGCTTTGCAGTATTATACTTAATGGGTTGGGGTTTTATCTGCTGATGTTTCAGCTTTGCCAAATTATGTTACTTTAGGATTCTACGATGTTTCTTTGCTATCTTATTTCTATTATTTTATGTTGATATAACATTCACTGTGACTTAGAATATATCATAAAGCATATTTTAGTACTGAGTATAATAAAAGACATAGTGGAGTATGTGGTTCAGCCAATATTTGTGAGACTAAATTTATTAGGAAATTTGTCTGAAAACATGGCAAAATATTTGAATTACTTGTGGCTTTCTTGTCTATAGTATGTTTTTGTTGTTATATAGAATCGCCATATAACTTAGATTGGCCTCAAAATTCTGATGTGTTTATCTCCTTCTCTTGATTTAAGTAGTAGTACACATTTACACATGTGTAAAACTATGTTAACAGTAAAGTTTTCATGATGTTGCAGTGAAAATATTAATAAACCACACTTCCTGAGTCACCGTTTCTCCAACCACTGCGTTTAAAGAATGAGTTTTGGAAATCTCAGGTCTGTATTTGACATGACTTTGTCACCCGCTGTTGCTTATAGGAACCAAACTATATGGTGATTAAGGGGCAAAAGGACCAATAATAAAAACTATAATGACAGTAGATTTATTTTCTTACTTCCAGGCCCACAACTGACAACTTGACTTTGATACTTCACAGTGGACATTGTCGGAGAATCTTGTTTGATAACAGCTTGACATAGGAGTTTCTTGGTTAAAGCCACATAAGTGTGTTACATTTCTCACTGTTGTCACAAAACCCATGGCCAAATCAGTAGAAAGAGATTCATTTGGATCACAATATACTGATAGTATTAAAAAAACCCAGCAAGTGGTGAGAGATGCAGAAGCTAATCACTGACAAAAAAAAAAAAAACACCAAAAATCAGTGCTGCTAGAGAATTGTATTCTAAATGGGATGGCTATCTCAAACTTCTAAGATTCAGAAAACAATCTAGAAGGCTGTCAGGAAATACATAAGAGCTGAGACTGTGGAGAAGGCCAGCAGCAACAACACACATTTTTGATTATAACACAGCAAATGTGACCTACACAAGACCTGTTCAGGACTCACCTTGTCAACATACATTGTGGATGATACAGGACCCCTAGGCCTACTCCTACATGAGGCATAATTGGCTGTTAATGGTTGCTCAGGAATGGGTGACGTTTGCTTCAATGGTGCAGCCCTTACAAATTGCCCTTTTCCCAGTATATGTCATCCTGCATACACTCAGACAAGAAACTATAACTTGACTTAGCAAGTTATACATTAGAGAAGACATGACAGCAGTAATGGATGGTGGTTTCAGCAAGAGGGCAAAGAATGAGAGAGGGCAGTAGGAATAATTTCTAAATTTTATTATATGTCTGAAACTATTGCACAAAAAAGAATAAGGGGAGGAAGTAAAGAAGGGAGCACGGAAGGAAGAAAGGGAGGGAGGAAGTAAAAAATATTTGGCCAAAGCAAGAAGACCAAATCATTATGGGCACTGTTCTTTGTATAAAGGTCATGAACCAGTTGCTGTTGGAGTCAGAGGGGCCATCCTGGACATTGCATGCAGAGAAGATGGATACTGGCAGCTGATGGAGCCAGGAGGACCAGCCAGAAAGAGTAGATGGGTTCAGACAGCTGATGGAACCAGAAGGACCATTGATATAGAGAAAAATTGATCCATGAATCCAGTGGAATCTGGAAGACCAGACAGGCCTTATTTGTGAGGGGGACAAATATATAGAACTTTTTAGTTAATAATTATCCCAGACAGTCTTCTTCTAGTGATCCAGATCTCCAATATGACCACCCATCCCTGGATGAGGTTCGTCATACTAAGGATGTCAGTGTCCTCATCTTACCATATTTTACTTATTTTCCCCTGGCTTTTAGAGCTAGGGTTTTTTCATGTTCTCATCTGAGAAGAGCCAAAAAATAATCTGGTTTTTGTCTAATTGCCTAGGTGATTTAATATTTTCATTTTCTCTTTATTTTATTACTGTTTTAGTCTAAAACATCTCCATCATCTTTGTTGCACCCTCTCCCTAGGTGCTGAGAATATTTATGTGTTTGTGTGTCTATAATCTTGTGTGTGTGTGTCCCACCACACCTAAAACTCTCATCCTTTCTTAAACTGCTACTTCTCTTTTCTCTAATGAATTCCAGTTTAAATAGTCTATGACACAACTTCCAGTGGTAATTTTATAGAAAAAAATTTACAAGACTACAACAAACGTAGTTTCCATATACTAATCACACTTGTTTCTTTAAAAAGTAGCATGTTTGGAGGATATGTGATTTTCCTGACATTTCAAGTTCAATTTCCCATCCAATGTTTTGACTGACCTCTACTTCAGATCTCCATGGAGTGAAGAGCCACAGTCTCATGCCCCAGCTCTTACTGCAATGCCTTCCTCTCTGTGCTTACTGAACTCCCTTGAAATCCTGAGACCAGACCAATCTACACTCTCTCTCGGGTTGTTTCTCTCAGGTGTTTCCAGTCACAATGATCCCTACTTATTATTAGTGAGCCTAAGATGTTGACATTTCTTGACATTATTTAGTCCTTTTTCCCCTTCAATTGTTTCTTTTTCCATTTTTTAATTTACTTTTCAGTTTAAATTTAGGTAAGAAACAAGGTTGCTTCACAAATCAGGAGCGGTGGCGCATGCCTGTAGTCCCGGCTGCACGGGAGGCTGAGACAGGAGGATCGCTTGAGTCAAGGAGTTCGGGGAATGTAGTGCGCTATGCCGATCGGGTGTCCGCAGTAAGTTCGGCATCAATATGGTGACATCCCGGGAGCGGGGGCGGGGGGGGGCACCAGGTTGCCTAAGGATGGGTGAACCGGCCCAGGTCGGAAACGGAGCAGGTCAAAACTCCCGTGCTGATCAATTGTTTCTTTCCAATGACTGTTTGGTTTCACTTCCTGTTTTCAAAATTTTGTATTCTTTGCTGATCTGATTCTGTGTCTGGATTATCCATATTTCTAGCTTTTTTCTCCTAGAGATTTATTTTCATACGTTTCTAGGGTTATTACTCAGATAAATTATTG